TTGTGGCTGCCATTAATTGTCACAGAAAGTTTAAATTTTATCCAGTAAATATGAAGTATTCCTCTGAATTCAAATATTATTATAATTATCCAAATATGAGATGAGTTCTGTCTTTTTTTATTTTTATTTTTTGGTACCAGGGTCCAAACTCCATACCTTGAGCTTGTGAGGCAGGCAGCAGAACCACTGAGCTAAATCCCCAACCTTAGTCCTATCTTTTTATTAGCCAGATCACTGGAATAAGCAAATCCATTTTCCCACTTTAGCAAACAGAAGAGTTTCCGATAGAATTTCTCAGAGAGAAGACAGACATCTTCCCTGAAAAATAGCAATGAAGTCACCTAACTCATAGTGTCTTAGTTTCTTTAAAGTAAGAAGTGAAAGGAGGGGCTGGATGGTTTAGCATACCTACATTCATTTCTTGATTCTGCTTGGCCTCACAGGGGGACTGAGTGATTTTGTGGGGAAAGAAGCAGATCTGTTTGCTCTGGAGGAGTGAGCGCATGTCCGCAGTAGAGAGGCAGGGAGACAGATGGCCAGCTATTGTGTTACAGCCATCATCTGCTGGCTGTGAGCAAATATTAAGTGAATAATATATATGTAATTGGTGTGAAAGTACAGTTGCAACATCTCTAATACTGTCTGAAGGATGGCTACTCTTGAACATTTGTATTTTATAGAATTCTATATTGAAATGTTTTTATGTACAGGGTTAATCCATTTTAAAATGCTTTAAAGTGAACATTTTTCCCATTTTTGACACTACTGTGCAATATTTTGAATTGAAATGGCCTATAATGGCCCCCTTTTTTTTATTTTCCATAACAACACAAGCACTAAATTATAGCTGTGCAATTATGTAAACAATGGAAATGCTTCCAGAATGAATCCTTCCTTTTAAATTTTCATTTTGTGTAATTGTTGGAAGGTTTGGAGCCATAATAAACGAAATTATTTTACACATTTATCGTTCTAAAGGTCAATTATAAGAGAACTAAAGAAACAACACTATGCAAAACGAAGAAACCAATTTCTGTTGCCATCACCATATGTTTTTCTTATCACTTATGGTTTTTCCAGTTACTGTGTACATAGCATTCAATTAAAGCGATTCATTTACCAGGCCGAATGCAGTTCGTGTTTATAGAACTGTGCTTTGGAGGGGAGGAAACTACACGCCTCTGTTTGAATTACCTGATTTTTTGCAAGATCAGTGATAAGAGACAGATGTTCTCACCACTCACTTTCTCATAAACCCGAATCTCTGGGTAAGCCTCAAATTTGCAGTTACCATCTTAAAACCTAGCTTTTCACACCTGATAGGTAGCATGACACAGACTTTTCACCAAAACAGGAGAAAAACACAAATGTGGTAGCCTGTTCCTCACATTATACCATTTTAAAGGATTATTTCCTTTGAACAAAAAGCATGTAAGAGAGTTTTCTCAGTGCTTCATACTGGTCAACTTTAAAGAATAAATGTAATGCCTAGTTTGAACTCCATTTGCCATTGAGCTTATTTAGTTTATGGTTTCATGTGTTCAAAATGTGGAAAAAGAACTAATTCTTGCTACTAAACTCACTTGTTTGGGTTAAGTTCTAATATCTCTCACAGGAACGAAACCTAAAAAATCTAAAATGATCATTTTCTTTTTTGTTTCATCATCTGCCCCATTGCTCAGACTCCTGTTCCTGATTGCTCTAATGCTTTGCTAAGGGTATTGTTTGAAGGCAGTGATTTCTAGAACTTTTTAGTATATGTGTAATCCAAGAGGCTTTGTGCCCCCTTTGAAATGTTTTTAAACACTCTTGTGTAAATCATAAAAATGATAGTTTGCTGAAACATGCAAGCTACACCTATGCATTCTACAAAATAAAATGTTTCAGAGTCCTCCTTACAGAAGATTTTTTTTTTCTTTTCCTTGCAATTCTATTTATTCCTGAATGGCCCTTTTCAGCTTGCAAAAGCATTTGTCCATATCTTCTTTCCCATTAGAAACTACTTTTTAAAGAAGATTGTCCCATTTTATGAAAGCAAAGAGTGAAGCTTGGGTTATAACATGATTTTCCCAAGTCTCCCACACAAGGCTGTGGCCCAGGGCTCATGGCACTAGTTCTGAAATTCTTTTGGCTGAGTACGAGTTCAGGGGTATTTCCCGCTAGTGCTACAGCAAAGACAGCACTGAGCAGCCCCCGAGCTGGGCATGAAGGCCTCTTTCCTGGTCTTGGCCTGTCCTGTTAACACATTTAGCTAGGCTTTGGACTTGGCAATAGAAATTCTGACAGCGCTGTGACACTGCAAACCACCCTCTTAGCAAGAGACCCCCTAGACTGTCAAATAGTGACATTCTTAGCAAAAACTTAGTATCATTGGCTTAATGTTATTGTTTGGTCCAAGGCGTAGTATTTTCCGTTTATGACCAAGAATACTCATTTTCCAGAATAGTTTTACTTAATTTCAAACCAAGTGAATCTCTTGGAAAAACCTGTCAGGCAAGATAGATGTTCACTTTGAGGGTAGATACGACAGAGGACATGAGGGTCACCCTCTTGTGTGTGCATATAAAGTCCTGGAGAAAGGTTCACAATCTCAGGCTTTTTGTTTTATATTTCCAGAGATTTCAATTACAACTGTGTTCTCCACCTATGGGGGGGTAAAGTGCACCAGAGGTCCTTCTGGGAGTTGCAAATGTGCAGAGCTCTCTGGGTTTGCTCTTTGGGGAACACACAGCTGCTGTCTCTGACTAGCACATGGTTGTCCCTACATGTACAATGTTATCACAAAGATAGACTCTTTGGGTTTCATTTCCATGCGGGTGGGCACAAGCAGGCATGAGACTGTCATTTGTCTGGTCAGATGGCGCCCTCCTTAACCCATGCATTAATGCTACCCCAGTGCTGTCTTTGGTGCCTTCAGCATAGTCCCTGCTTCTCTTGGGCGCTGTCTCACGTGGGTGGCAGAGGAGAGCGGGCCAGCCATCTGTTGCTCTGCCCTCTTTTTTCCATCTTCTTGCCCATAGAAACAGGTTCTGTTGAAGTGACTACTGGCCAAGGTCCAGGGCCTGGGGGAGCTGTGTGACTCAGCTCTGCATATCTGTTGTCTTTAGCATCAATGCAACTTAGTAATTTTTCTGAAAGCCCACTCATAGATCAATGCCTTTTCTCTTACAGATCTTATGAAAGCAAGATGGATTCCATCTATAAATTTTGGCTTTAGCTTGTTAAAGGACTTTGTCCCTAATTCCCATAAACTTATCCTAGAAAAGCATTTTTAAATTAAATCTCCAAATTCCAGTGGTAAAAATGGCTCATTCGACTTAAGTATGTGTTAAAGATCTTTAAAACCCATAGGCTTCAGAATTTCCTCATCTCAACAGATGGAATTAACACAAACATAACAAAGTTAACATCCTGGTTGTTTGCATTATTAATCTTCAGATGCATGGCATTCTGCTACCTTGCTCGCCAGGTTTGCACGAACCCTTTCATTGCAGCATATGTCAACAGAAATGTGCTTCCATCTGCCGCCGGAGAGCCTGATGCCTGATATTACCAGACAAGGCCCGGCACAATGCGTACCTCTGTGAGTAATTACAGGTGTGTGGTGAGGAGCACAGGGCATTAATCATAAGCTTAATTATGAAAAAGGTGGATCTTTTGTTCCACTCCCAGAGCACGAGTTTACCACACACTTTCTAAGCTGCAGCACCCATCTGCTCAGCCCCTTTGAATATTTGCCTTGGCTGATATGAGCCCTAAAGTGTATGGCAGGACGTGATTAAAGCAGGTTTAAACATTAACTGGGAAGGAGCGTGGTTCAGGTTGACTTCCCTTTCTTTTCTCCCTTTATCTGTTTATCTGTTTATTTTGGGTATAGGAAAAAGTCTGCTGAAATGCCAAAACTTTACATTAGGACTTGCTAAACTGCCGTATTGGAGTTCAGTAGATTAAACATGATGTAGTTGTTTTAATGATGTAAATAGTATGGTGTATTAAAATTCAATCAGTGTACTATAGAAAGAAAACATTGCTTTATGAACACATAGAAATTGTTTTAAGGAGGCAAGTTGTTAAATGAGATTATTTTTATATGAAGGATTTTAATTCATGTTTTAAAATTTAGCATGTTGCTACCACTCTCTAACTTAATAGAATTAAGTCAGAATTATTTTGAAGGATTTTTCAGATCCTGAAAACTAAGAAACCAAAGGTCTTTCTATTTAGTGTTTTACCTAAATACACATTGATAACTATTTCTAGGTTGTATAACTACAAGTCACAAAATGGTGGTACTTCAGTGTAGCTGATTGATGTGCCTGTCAAAAACTGCATCAATGAAGTTTGCGATATATTTCCTCATTGCATTTGCACATACATACACACTCATGCCCACATGCATACACATCCTTTGCATGTTCTTGGAGGTATGGCTTGTCCATGATAGTGTGAGTGCTGTTCAGGGCTGGATTCTGACTGCCACAGGCAGGGACGAGGGGCCAGTGGGCCACCAGTGAGAGGCTGTCACAGACTCAAGCACAGGTATCTGGGCATGTGATGCTCTTAGTGCTGCATCTCACACATGTTCTCAGATTTGCACTCACCCCTGGCTTTAGTGCATCCCTTATCACAGTATTTTCTTATCCTTCCATATTCCCCATCATAGTACCTAAAATTACCCAGAGAATGACATTTCCATCTCCTTGATTACTTTAAGTTTTTTTTAATGTAATAGCTTGCTTTAGCTTTAAAAAATCAAAAACTAAAGACAACATATTCTTTATTGTAGCAATAATTGTTGAAGGTTTTATTTATGTATCTACCTCCTGTTCCTTGTAAGACAGTGCAATAACTACTATAGTATTCACTTCTGGTACCTTGTCCCTGAAAAATGTCTCTCTTTGACATCCTCATAGATTATTATACAATGCTCCTATGTACACACAAAGTGCTTTGGAGTTTTGTCCTGAAGTTTTCAATCATGCATACTTCTCTTCTCATAGGATATCTTGAACACCATCATAAGACACTGCCCGCCCCGATTCTTCTCCCTGGGTCTGCCTGGCTTCTCCATGCTGGTGGGGGACTTCATCACGGCCTCAGCCAGGGTCCTCAGCACAGACATGTTGGCGGTGAGTATGACAATGCTCAGATCCAAGCTCCCAGGAGGCCTCGAGATCGCTAACAAGGTTCAGATTTCTCCACTCTTAACAGGTGTCGACTCATTAGTGCAATGTGAAACTGGACTCTCAGGGTAGATACCCTGGCAGCTGACGTGTGAAATTGTAGGATAAGATGACACACTGGTATTGGAAAGGCGTTTCATCAAAAGGCCAAAGTGTGAGAAATCATATCCTCACTAATATCTCAGCACATTTGCACCATCAGAGGTAGGGCTTGTCTCTTAGAATCTTATTAGCATTTTCTAGTAAATTGTGGTATAGACATAAACATCTGAAGTAAAGAGAGAATTTTCAGAGTACATTAGCAGTTAGGCACTTTTTAAAAATCAAATCTTGGTTACTGTCATATAGAAAGTATTTATTTGTTTGTTTGTATAGTATTTATTTTTGCAGTGCTGGGAATCAAACCCATAGACTCAGCATGTTAAATATATGCTCTACCACTGAGCTTTACCCTCAGCCAAAAAATATTTTCTTAAAATGTTAGAACACTTCAATTTTAAACAGAAATGAATATATATTTCTTATAAATGTGCAAGAAAGCACTGGCAAAAGTCTTGATTGAAAAATTAGAAGCAAATGGACTAAATGTACATTTAGAGTTGCAAAAGAAATTTATTTTCTATCTCTGCATTTACTGCCACTGTTTCACAATATCTTAATTCCTTTTGAGAGAATACTTTTCGCATTTAAATTTAAAGGACCTTTCTCCCATTTGTGCTCTGAACAACAGATAGCTATTCAGTCATTTTTCCCCTTCAAATGGTACAAATAAAATGAGCTTTCCGATTTGCCAGGAATTTGCAATGAACTCAGTGTGAGAAGCCAGTGTCCTAAATTTTCTTTGATACATGTTTACCTTTTCTCTCCACTTATATGTTTCTGTGCAAGATAAATTCAAACTCCAAGCTGTAGCTTTTAAATGTTTTAAATATTCTATATATCTGATATTTCATGCTTATCTTTTTCTGTACTAACTCTATCTTATTAAAAGTTAACAGGCAAGAGAAGGGTAAAGACAAGGGAAAAGGAGGGAATAAAAAAATAAGAAGAAAAATGGTGAATTTGACAACTTTTCATACTTCATTATGAATATTATTTCTGAAAAGGATTTAGGATAATCTCAAAGAACCTTCAAATTTATTTTTAACCACTTAAATCAACATTGAAAAAATTTACAAGATCCTGGCAGAAAAATCATACTTCTTTACGAAAAAAACACTTTTACTATTTGCTAGGAGAATTTTCTATAAAAATGCTACAGCAAAATATATGATATACCTTTCCATGGTGATCATTCTCTGCACAAATGTATCTTTTACCTGGATGAGCTATTTAAAATGGCCACCCATAAACTCAATGAGAATAAAATAAAATAGCCACCCAGACATGCAATTAGCTAACAGGTATATAAAAAAAAAAATACTCAGGATGAGTAGTTATCAGGGAAATGCTGATTAAAACCACAATGAGATAACCATCTCACAACTGTTAGAATGACTGTCATCAAAAACACAAAAGAAACACGTGTTGAAGATGTGGAGGAAAGGGAGCCCTTTTACACTGCTGATGGAAATATAAATTGGTATAGCCATTCTGAAAACTAATACTAATGTTTGTCTTAGCTTCTTTTTGTTGCTGGGATAAAATACCTAACACTCAAAACTTAAAGGAGGAGAGGCTTATTTTGGCTCACAGTTTAGTCCATGGTCTGCTAGCTCCAAGGTAGAAAAGGTGTGGTGGAAGGGTGTGGAGAAGGAAAGCTGCTTAACTCTTGGAAGTCCACAAAATAAAGCAAGGGAGGAGTCAGCAACAAGCACACACTGCCTTCCAGGTCATGCCCCATGCCACCTCCCTCTAACCAGGCTCCACCTCCTAACAGCTCATTCAGCTACAGAACCCAACAATGTATGAATCCACTCACAAGTATATAGTGCCCCCAGTCCAGTCACTTTTCAAGTACACAAGAATTTTGAAGAACATTTTAGATCTAAATCATAACAAAGTTCCTCAAAAAATTAAAAATAGAACTATGGTATGATCCAGCAATTCCAATTCTGAATACATAGCCTAAGGGAATGCAACTAGGGTCTCAAATATCTGCATTCTCCTGTTCATTGCAACATTATTCTGAGTGGCCAAGATGTGGAAATAACTTATGTGTATATTTTACAGATGAATGGATTAAAAAGATGTATGTGTACACAGTGGAACATTATTCAGCCTTGATTGAACAAAGAAATCTTGTCATTTTCAACAGCATAGATGAGTCTGGAGGCCATTATACTAAGTAAAATGAGCCAGGCTCAGAAAGACAAACAAGAGTGCATGATCCTACTTGTATATGAAATCTAAAAAAGTCAAACTCAGAAGCAGAGAGGAGGTTGGTGGTTGCCATGGGTATGGTGATATTAGTCCAAAGGTACAGAGTGTCAGTTATACAGGGCAAATTAAATGCTCTAAGAGACCTAATATATGACAGGACTATAGTTAATAACACTGTACTCTAAGCTTGAGATTTGCTAAGAAAATATATTTAAAATATTTCCTCCACACAAAGGACAGTTATATGAGGTGATGGTTATGTTAATTAGCTTATGATCATCATTTTACAATGTATATGTATATCAAAGCATCATATTGTATACCTTAAATATGTACAGTTTTTTTGTCAATTTTACCTCAGATAGCTTGGAAAAAGAATCAACAAAAAATAGTCTAAAATGTTTTTCAAAAACAAAATATGAATGAGAATGCGATTCTAAGAGTTGCAGAAAGAAACAGCTGCTTTTTGAATCACTTTCTTGTGAGATTTAAAATCACAGGAGCTGATGAGAGGCTTTTGGTTGGGCCTCATCTGCTTAGCAGAGTTTTCAGATAACACAAGTTAAGAGTGTACCTTGCCCTTCAGTCTGTATCATTGAGGCAAGGTGCAGGATGTCTCCTTAGGTCCCCAAAATAATGGGGGCAAACTTGTGCACAGCAACAAACTGTCACAGATAGAAACTAGAGCCAATCTAAATGTCCATGAACAATGGAACAAATGAACTGTGTTGTGTACATAACATGGTACTTACAGTAAAAGTGCAACAGTGACTAGTTGCATGCTTGCCTGTAAACTAGGGCCAGACATAAATCCAGTGCTTAGAGGAAAAATTGTCTAGATTTTTGACATTATTTGAATGAAGCTGTAACAATTCACTAAGTCCTAATGCTTTGCATTCAGCTTTCAAACAGTGAATTCAACAAAAATTCCATGCTGCAAACTAGGCTCCCCAGTATGCAGTAGTTCAAGGCCAAGTAGGGAAAAGTATTAGTGCCAACAGAATGTCTTCCAGGCTCATCTGGTGCAGAAGGAGCAGCAGCTGGTGAGCAGAGACAAAGCAAACTCTCTTTGGAAGCACTCACCATGGACCACTGTGTGTCAGACCCTGGCCTGAATGAGTTTCACAGGGTCCCTACTCTTGAGGAGGCAGATGTGTAAACTTAATATTTGCAAATAAGTTTCCTGCTCCAACCTAAATGCCCTGCTACCATCTCTCCTAAGGAGGGAAGTTCTCTTTTGTTTCAGAGTATAATCCCAGTGTGGGCCTGCGTTTAGATGGCCTACAGGCTAGATGACTTTGACAAGCTACTCAACTTCTCTGAGCATCATCAGCTTTCTCATGGAAAATGCAAATGATAATAGTATGGACCTCAGTGGGTTTTTTAGGGGACTCTGAGGAATGCTTGTGCTGCGCTTGGAACATTGCCTGGCACAGAGTGAGATCTCCTGAAGTCTTAGCTGCCGTTGTCATTATTAAAAAATAGTAGGATAGATGGACAGATGGGCAGTGGCTGGATGGTGTACCTTTGAGATACTGTGCCCGCCCCCATTCTTGGCTACTCATAGCTGCTAGATTGAATTGAAATCTAGTGATCTACCTCCTTTAGTATATACTAATTCCAATAATGGACAAATAAGTGATTAGTATTTTACTAGATACGGTGACTTAGTCTCTCAGACTGTGTTATTTTACAAAGTCATTCTTGATAAGACATAGGGAATTTAGTAGATGGTGTCTTCACTCTGATAGCTACCTCCACAATACTTCCTTATGAATTTTCCGTAACTGTTCTTCACAGCAAAAGCTGCTTCATTAAGAACACTAACAGTAAGACAGTCAGGAGGACTTAGCTGTGTGCCTTTTTTGTTTTTTGTTTTTACTGGGGATTGAACCCGGGTCCTTGTGCTTGCGAGGCAGGTGGCAGAACCACTGAGCTAAATCCCCTGCCCAGTCATGTACCTTTCTAATTCTGAATGACTCTGCAGACTAGTTTTCACTGTACTACATGTCTAATTATTACACTTCGCATTCCTTAGAAATTTGCTTTTTAAATATTCATCAGGAAGATAAGCCAGGCATACAGTATGATATTTCTAATCATGATAAAATAACTATCCAGATTCCCTTTTAAAACCACAAAGAAGTAAAATGTGTCATTGCTTCTCAGAGTGAAAGCTGTGTGCTTCCCACTCCTTGTGTGCAGGCGCCTCGTTCTGAAGCTCTCACGGTGCTTGGGTCCCTCGTCTGCTTCCCTAATATCTACCGGGAGATCCCATTACTACAGTCGGTACCAGAAGTGAGTGAGGTTATCACTGGAACTGAAGACGTCAAGGTATGTAACTCGCTTGATCACAACTCCAGTTTAGTATTTTATAGTTCTACCTGTATCTTCCATTGTTATATATTGACCTACTCATCCCTGAAATTTTGCTGCATCTTTTCAGTGTTTTGGCAGTTATTTTCAGAAGTCTGTCCAAGGGGCTACAAACACATTCAGAGCACCCTGCAATTAGACCTGGTAGCTTTACTCCTCAATGTTTTTATTAGGTCTGTTTATGATGCCTAGGGATCCAAATCATGTAGTGAATCATTCTTTGTAATAATTTTACTTGTTTAATTATGCTGCGTTAGTGTATCAATTTATAAGAAATAATTGAAATAAGCTAAGTACACAATTCTGTTGGCCTAATTAAATACTACTAATGATTTGAAATTCCAAATTATTTCTTGGAGAATAAAAGTACTTACTCTCTCCTCTACTGATTTTTGAGGCAAACAAAAAATAAATCCCATCATCAGTCAGTCAATTAATGATTAGAATATATAAATTAACGTGCAATATGTAATCCAAACTAAAGAGAAATTTTACTATCAGGAGGTCTTCTTGAATTCACTGCTACCCAGAAACACTTCTGCCTCTGCCCTTGTCCCACTGCACAGAGCTCTCAAGCTCGCTGGGCGTCTGGTAGCTCTTGGCTGTGCAGAGTGTGCAGCCATGTGGGAAGCCAACCATAATATAGAAACAAAGTTTTTATTTTACTTAATTTTGTGTTTTTAGCATTACCTCATAAATATTTTACTGAAGAATGCCACAGAGGAACCAAATGAATGTGCAAGGTAAATGTTGGACAAGAGGTAACCTCTTTCAGAATTTTTAAGATACATTTTTATGTGTAAAAAGTTAATGCTTAAAGAAAACACTTTCCTTTGTCTTACTCTCGCACACAGTAAAGAATACACACAGTAGGAATTCTGCCAGGAAAATGCTTTGCCTACTTTCTTATTTATCTATTTATTTTTGGATTTTTGAGACAGGGTCTTACTCTGCTGTACAGACTGGCCTTGAATTCCCTATGTAGCCCAGGGCTGGCCTTGAACTCATGGCAGTCTTCCTGTCTCAGCCTCCTAGGTGCTGGGATTACAGGTGTGCAGTACCATCCTAGGCTACTTGATTATTTTAGAAGTCATGGTTATTAATTAAAGATTGTAAGGTGCAGAAGATTATATATAGTATGCTGTCTTTCATTTAAGCAAAAAAGCAAGCTAACAAATGCATACATATATTCCCTGATATTTTCAATAAGAAGGAGAATGGACGAATAACCTCACAATTCATAAAAGTGGGATATGTGTAGGGTTGCAATCTCAAGTGGTGGTGACTCTGGCCAGGAGACACTGAGCAGTATCTGAAACATTGTGGCTGCTTCTGCAGGCAAGCGGTCACTTGCAACCTCTAGGCCAAGTGCACAATAAGAAGGAAACACGGCCTCTGTTCCTAGCTGAAGCTAGAGCTGGGAATGCCCAGCTTCTAGCCCTGCAGGGACAGGCATGGAAGCTCAGTTCTCATTCCTGGGTAGTAGCTCCCACCTGAGACAGCATTCCCTGATCCCTGCTGGCCTCTTAACTTGATGATTTTAAGCTTTGTTCACTTGTATATTTCACTTAACTTCCTCAGTTATATATAGTGAGTGGCTTAGTCCAGGTTTCCTAGTCTTCCATGCCAGAGCCAGCAGCTCACTATCAGTTTGCTGTGTTCAACTAGACTCGCACTTTGGAATAAACTGAACTTGGTTAACACAGAATTGGATCTAGTTTGGCTCATATTTTTTTCAGGAAAGTTAGTTTTCTATTCATGCCCTATATTCCTTCCCCATCCTGCTCTTAGCAGGTTTGGTTCTAAGTTACAAAGTCTCACAAAATGAGTAGAATACTGTTTTATTCTCTTTAGTCAAGGATAGTTTGTGAAAAATTACTTGATATTTTTGTGTCTTTAATAGACCTTGATGATAAAACTCACGAGTCTAGTTTTTTCCTTTGTGAGAAGTTCAGCAGCTGACATCTTCTGCAATGGTTTTGGGGAAACTGTTAATCCCTCTCTCTCTCTTTCTCCTCTCTCCCTCCCTCTCTGGCAGATTTGATAAATTAAAAATTTTCTAGAAACCTTTCCATTTTACTTAAGTTTTGAAGTACACTTGCATACTAGTTGTTTCTGTTAGTCTTTTTTTTATTTCTGACATATAGTTATAGCTATAGTTACTGATATCTATAGTTTTTAATCTCTGACACTTTTGATATGTTCTCTTTTTTGTTTTTTCTTTATACTGAAGAACACTTTAATAGCTTGCAGATGGGGACAGTATTATTGCTGTGATACCTCCAATCATTTCATAGTAATTCTGAGTCATTTTATAGTAGAAGAGACAGAGGAAAATAATTTTGCTATACAGCAAAACACATATGAACTTTCATTCCTACATGGGACATTCCCACATCTGTCTAGTTTGGGCCCAGAACAAAACAGAGCTGCTCTATTTCACTCACTTTTTTTTCCTGTTAAAGTTGCTTCAGATACTAACTGGGAAATTAGGACTGACTCGTGGCAAAGGAGTAGCAAAAACTTTGGTTTCCTGGCAGAGTTTTTTTTTTATGGTACCAAGGATTGAACTGAGGACCTTGCACTTGCGAGGCAGGTGGCAGCATTACTGAGCTAAATCCCTGGCACCTGGCAGAGTTTTAAGACATGGGTGAGCTCCCTTCTTCTCTGTAAGCGCAGGCATGGTCACTGTGGCTGTCACCTTCACCCACAGAACACCCTTCCACTGACTGCAGGGGACAGTGGACCCCAGATGTCCTCTCTGGTCCCAGCAATATTGCTTTTTGTGTCCGAAATGTGACAAGCCCACAGAAGCAAGGTAATGATGCAGGAAGGTAACCAGAGCTCCTTGAATATCCTCATGGCCCCTAGGACTCGGCCTACAGACAGTTCCTAGAGTTCTAACCCTAGATGACCAGGTCCTGTGCCGCAGAGGGAGAGAGCGCACACCAGGGAGAAGGATGCAGGCCAGCTGTGGGTCCAGGCCCATCCTTCACCTTGTTTCTCAGAGTAGTCCAGGAAACACAGAGATGCTATCTGCTCTAATTTTCAAAACCTCTTATCTTGTCCTACCAGGTGTTCTCTGATTTTTTAAAACTAGTCTTGCCATAAGTTTGACATTTTTACTGTTTTTTTTCCAAAAGTGGGCTGGTATGTGCAAGGCCCTGGGTTGAATCCCCAGCATGACTCTCCCCAAAAATATTTTTGTCTTATGTTTGTGTTCAACCTTTCTATTCTATGTGTTTTTATTGTCTGCTTTCAGCTCTTAGTATTCTTTCTTTCTGTTATTCCTTTCCTCAGTAGTTAGTATATTAATTTTTAACCTCTCCCCTTTACAAATATAAGCAATTTAAGACTTTATTTCTAGGTGCTACTTTATCTGAATTTAAACATTTTTAATATTTAATATTTTCCCTTCCAACTTTTTT